TCAATGTGTCGACGCCAAGTGAAATGATGGGTGCACGCTTGCAAACAACAGAAGACAGCTTGTCGCAACGCTATCGTTCCGGGGAGCAGAGCGACGAAAGCTACGACAAAAAAAAAAAAAAAAAAACAGATAGCATAAATTGGCACATATTTAAGTTTTTTAAAAGTCTATACGCAGCAAAGAAGCTATTTGTATGCGAGTAGGTACAGTCCGGACCCAGGTGTATTTTCTATTGAGACCAAGTGAACAATGATTTCCTTGCCCTCGCAGATTTCGCGAGAAAACCTCTGTGATTAGAGTACTTTCTTGATATCAAAGGTCACAGTGCAACAGTAATGTCAACCATGATTTCGAGAATATCTGCCTGAAAAAAAAAATGTGTTCGAAGTCGTTTTGCCCACGTGCAGCATAATTTACAAAAAAAAAAATACTTATTGCGTATCGCAAGCATGCGTGAATGGGGACAGTTAACTAAAAAATGTTGACTAAAAGCTGTCAGGGCTGCTCGCTCACATATGGAGCTGACATAATAATTCCCTTAGGCATGCAGTCATTTTCCACGTTGTAAGCGGAGCCGTCCTTGACTTGTGAAACGCACTTTGCCCCTACGAGGACTAAGCCATCTATGCTTAACAATTAACGATTCACGAACAGGCGGGTCGTCGCAATGACGCGTTTTCAACGACTAATTCATTAAATAGTGAGCAAACTTTATTTAACCAGCGGATTGAGGCGTGGCCCTAAGCCGCGCCAGGGGTGGTGGAGAGACCCTGTCTCTCAGCCGCCTCCCGTGCTCGCTGGATGGCCCATATTTGATCTGTCCGATCTGAGCTGATCAGCGCGGCTCTCCACCGCGCCCCAAGCTGTTCTGGGGAGACTGCATTGGCGTCCTGTATCTGTGTGCATTCCCATAACATATGCTCTAGGGTGGTGCGTTTCATGCTGCATAGCTTACACGAGTCATCTGGGTATAGTTCGGGGTAGATGCGATTTAGGTGCTTCGGGTTGGGAAATGTGTTTAGTTTGAAGTCGCCTCCAATCAACCTCCTGAGATCTGTCTAATGTCGAGCTAGGTGGTGGAAATCTGCGCCTCGACTTTTGGTAGAATTGGATAATGTCGCATAACCTAAACATTCTGTCCCTCTCCCACCACTCCTCTCCTCCCAGTACCTCATGTGAAGCTCCATCGTGAGTGTGGTAGGTGATACCTCGCGCTACGCGGTGAGCCTCCTCGTTGAGGTTATGAATGAGGGACGACATGGGGTGTGGGCTGGGAACCATATAATATACCTTTCTTCGAATTCCTCGGATGATATGAGATTTGCCTTGCGGAAGAGTATGTTGGCTGCCTCGGGATATATTCTTCCTCGTGCATAGTTACGGATTGCCGACTGCGAGTCGCTGATGACATACCTACACTTTGAGGAAATTATGGCCTGTGCAATAGCCACCTCTTCCGCGATTTCTGAATTATCCGAGCGTATGGAGCACGGTTTATGCATTTGCGCTTGGTGTTTATTACTGCCGCGACGTAGGATTTGGGACTAGGGTACTCCGCTGCGTCTACGAACAACGCCTCCTTGTCTCTGCCGTAGGCCTTAAGTAGAGTTCTAGCGCGGCTTTCTCTTCTGCCCTGATTAAGTTCGGGGTGCATGTTTTTGGGCAGATTGGGGACCTGGATCTTTTCCCTGATCACCTTTCGAACCGACACTTTACTTCCTTGTTGCCTATGGTAATTTATCCCCAACTTGTCAAGGATACACCGTCCTTTGCGCGTGCTGGCTAGTCTCTCCAACTGGGCAATCTGTTGCGCTTCTATCAGCTCCTCTAAAGTGTTATGTAAGCCCAGTTGAAACAGTTTTTCGTTGCTGGTGCTATCTGGAAGTCCTAAAGCTTGTTTGTACGCCTTTCGTATGAGTGCGTTGATTTTGAGTTTTTCGGCTGTATACCAGTTTAGATATGCCGCTACGCATATAATATGACTTATGGCGAATGAATAAACAAGCCTGATGACGTTAGCTTCTTTCACGCCCTGGTGTTTGTTTGCGACTCTCTTGATTAGCCGTATTGCGTTGTAGACTTTGGTTACTAACCTCTTGACGGTTTCACCGTTTGTACCCTTAGACACGATGATGAGTCCAAGGACTCTGATTTGTTGCACTATAAGAATAGTCCTGCCGTTTTTGGTGTGAATTTGGATCTCTTCGTAAGCACGGTCCCGGTTGTATCTCTTGGGTGGTCTGCTTTTAAGCGTGGGGCGATAGAGGTGGAGTTCGGATTTATCTGGCGAGCACTCGAGGCCAGTACCTTCAAGATACTCCTCAATAGTGGTGACGGCCTCCTGTAGTCTGCTCTATCTCTCCGTCACTACCTTCACACGCCCAGATGGTGATATCATCTGTATATATAGAATGATGTATTCCGTATATTGAGTTCAGCCGTGCCGGGAGTCCTATCATTATGAGATTAAACAATATTGGCGATATGACCGAACCCTGCGGGGTACAAGCACTGCGCATAAGCTTTTCCTCAGATCTCAGTTCTCCCCTACGATGGATGCCGTTCTGTCTGTTAGGAAGTCCTTTACATAGTTATACGCTCTAGATACTAAGCTTAATTGGCAGATCTGATGTAATATTGCCGTATGCGATGCTTTGTCGAAGGCTTCTTTAAGGTCTAATCCTATGATCGCCCGGGTAGCTCTTGTTTTGTTGTCTAGAATATGCTGCTTAATTTGCAGCATGGCGTCTTGCGTGGAGAGCCGTGTGCGGAACCCCAACATGGAATCTGGGTAGATTTCGTTCTCCTCAAAATAAGTGTTGATTCTGTCTAGAAAAGCGTGTTCCATCAGCTTCCCAGCACAAGACGTTAGTGATATGGGGCGTAAATTAGACAGATCGGGGGGTTTCCCGGGCTTGGGGATGAGGATTACTTTAGCTTTTTTCCACTGTTTTGGTATAGTGCCCTTGGTCCAGCACTCGTTAATATATCGCGTGATGTTCTCTATGGCTTGGTCGTCAAGGTTCCGTAGTGTTCTGTTAGTGATCCCGCCTGGTCCCGGTGCAGATTTGGTGTTTAGCTTCTGTTGCGCAGCCATGATTTCAGCCACAGTAAACTCCTCATCTAAGAGCTCGTTCGGACCTCCGGAATATGGTCCGTGCTCTGTGACAGGCATGGCGGAAATGTACGTGTTGCTAGCCTCAGCGATAAAGTCATCCTCACTGCCGTTATACCGGTGCACCAGTTTACGCAAGGTTTGCTTGTGTGCTGATTTGGTGTTATCTGGGTCTAGCAGGTGTTTGAGCATGCGCCATGTCGGACCAGCATTCATTTTGCCATCGAGACTATTACAAACTTGGTCCCATTGCTGTTTGCTTAGCTGCTTACAATGTTATTCGATCTGTTTGTTCAGCTTGGCTATGCGCTTGCGCAAGGGTCTGTTGTGCTTCTGTCCCCGCCATCTATTCTGCAGTGATTGCTTGGCCTCCCATATGTGTGCGAGACGGCTATCAATCTGCTCTAGGGGTGGACTTGAAGTGATACTTCGCGTTGCTTCGCTGACGTCGTTATTGACATCTTTGATCCAATCTTCAATATTGCTGATAGGGTCTTGTTTTTTCGCCTTTATGACTTTCCGAAACTTATCCCAGTCAGTCCATCTAATCTGTCTATGAATTTTAGTGGCAGCCATGGTTTCTATCCTGATTTCAAATATTCGATGATCACTTTCCAGATCATCGAATGTGTTTTTCCATTTAGCGGTCCCCGCGTTACGAACTAACGTTAAGTCTGAAGTGGTGTCTTTTTTAAGCCCAGCTCCCATACGCGTAGGGGAGTCGGGGTCAGTGATGAAAGTTAAGCCTGTTTCTTGAATATCCTGCCATAGCGTTTTTCCTTTGGCTCTTGTGTATCCGTATCCCCAAGCACTGTGTGGAGCGTTAAAGTCTCCACCTATGACGAGTGGATTGGGTCCCGCTATATCTACGTCCTTCTTAAAGAGAAGAAGGAAGCGTTGTCGTATGCGTGTGGGATTGCTGTTCAAATTCAGAATAAATATGCTCGGAGATTTTTTTTCTTGTAGGGGCTGGTTGTACGAGTATATTTTCAATTTTTGTGATGCAGGTGTCGTGGCAGATTGCTACAAGTCCCTTCCTTACTAGATGGTTAGTGTTCTAATATCCCCTATTGGGGGGCCGATCGCCTGATATCCCGGTAGCTTAGCTAAACTGTGGGTTTCCGGCAAAATTAGAACATCCGGTTTGGTTCTGTCTCTAAGGTGTTGTTGCAGGACTGCTCTCTTCCCCTCATAGCTCCTGCAATTCCACTGCCAAATAATTAAGTCCCTTTTTCTGGGCTTCCCTATTTTGAGTTGGCTATCGAAGAGGGAGGAGGGTGAAAGGAGGCAGGCCTCATGAAATTAGTTGATATAGCCGCTGATGTGGTGCCCTGAGATAAGTGTGAAATGCCTTCAGTGCTCATCGGAAGGTTGGTAGCTGGAAGTACCGGAGGTGTCCTAGGGTTGAGAGTGGCTACGTTAGCTTCGAGTTTATCTAGTCTATCCATGATCATGGATATTGCAAGCGAGAGATTATTGGTTGCCTCTGCCTGTTCCTTAACTGCTTTCTGTATTTCGGACAATGTTTGATTAATGTTCGAGGTTTGCGCCGTAGTTTTGTCATTAGACACCTGAGCTTTTCTTTTAAGATGTGGCGGGGTACTGTCCTCGTCCATTCGGTTATCTGGCATTTCTTCGAGGCGCTCTTGGGCCGCGGAACGCATTTTGACTAGAAGTTCTATTTGTGCAGTTTTTAAGACTTTGAATTTCCCGAGTAAGCTGTGATATCGGTTCTCTAAGCTCAGCGTTTTCTTTTTTCAGCTCCGCTATATCACTGAAATTATGCGCAGTCTCTCCCGAAGGCTCAGGGTGCGTCCCTTTAGCCACGCTTGACCAGCTCACCGTGAATGCCGAATTCCCTTGATGGCCATTGCCACCCTTTGGCTTAGACCGGGATCTGGAACGGGATGTAGTGCGCCTTCTCGGTTCCGGAGACTGGGAGGTGTGGCCGTGGGACGTTGCGCAGGACCAGGACCTTGATCTGGACCCAGGCGTTGCCCTCGTCCGGAATTTGGACCTCCCGCGTTCGGTTGGCTTGGTGGTAGGGGGGTAGTTCTCGAGCGTCTCTTGAAGTTGTCGGAACCACTGGCGTTGTTTTACGATGTAGGGTGTCTTGAATTTGGCCTTGCAGAGTTTGTGAGCCGTGGGATGATCCTTGCCGCACAGCTGACATCGTGGCTGACAGTGGTGGTCCTCGCTCGGATCAGGCGTTTCACAACCCGCACATAGCTTGTCGTTTGGCCTCCAACACACGTCACTCCTCTGCCCAAGTCTGTTGCATTGTTTGCAAAAGTCAACTTGTTTCCTGCATAGTGAACAGCGTGTGAGCACTCCTCTGTGCATGACGTGCGTCGGGACTCTGCTGCCGTCAAAAAGGACTATCACTGTCGTGGTGTTGCCAAGACGTTTGGCTGCGATCGCCGTAGGTTTTCGGGCTGTAATAATAGCTGCGGTGATGTCCCGTGGGGTTTCGTTCAAAGGAACGCCTTTGATTACACCTTTGGCAGTGAGTTCCGGGGCCGTCTCGAATGCTCCCACCTCATACAGCTTGTCGTTGGTTTCGATCTGCTTGATGCCTTGGTACTTGTCTGCATGGTCTTGGTTTGGGGTGCTAACGACCAAGATGTTCTGAAAATTATTCGGACAAATCGTGTCCGTCTCTCTTTCTTCATAAGGGGTTTCGGCTGCTTCATACGCAGCTTTGTCTAGCTCCGTTAAGCTGAGCTTGGATAGCTGCAGTCCTCCTCTTGGCCTTATAACTATCTTGTAGTCGCCTGTCGGCAGTCTTGGCATTTAGCTGGCTCTGGTTATCCGGGATATCAGATTTGCACCGCGCGTTCTAGGCGTTCGGGTAGGGCTAGGGCTACCACGGAGTTCCTGGCTACCTTTTTTCGCACGTTTTCTGTTTCGAACTTCTGTCCACCCGTTGCCTGTATCATCTTCCCGTTGGGTGACGTCTTCGTCTTCCCGTTGGGTGGCGTCTTAATTCTGCTGCAATATCTCCCTTATTGATGATTACGGCTTGTATGGCGCGAACGCCAAGGCCTGGCTATCGTGAGGCCGCCCCAGTCGACGCGGAGCGCCGGTCGTAGGAACAGTAGACGCTGCTTAGTGGGGGCTGGTTTTCGGTCGTAAAATCTTGAAAAATGATCACCCACCTTAGAATATGGTCTCTTCGGATTCTCAGTGACGAGAAGAATCAGATGGTATATAAATCCGAGCGGTGCCTGGCTGTATTCGCTGCGAAATCATTCAATGAGAACGGAGCCGACGTGAAGAGCGTTCATTCACCTCGGTGACCGCAGCGCCTCCTCTTTAAATAGTGCGACGAGAGAATTTCGCTCCAAACGACCACTTTACCGGTCGTTTGCTGTTTTCTACTGCTATGCCTCTACGCGCGAGCATGAAGGCACCCTATAATACAGTGAACTGCTGCGCCAGCTGTAGGTATCACATGTTTCCCGTGATTGCCTCCACACATGAGATATAGATCAGGAGCCCCTGGTAACTCATGTAGCTGCACCTCAGCCTTGTGACAGAAATTTTTGGAGCTTTCTCATTTCGATGTCGTTGGCCACCCCGCCAGTATGGTGGCTACCGCCAGCAGAGGAGACTCGTTCTCTTGACGCAACTGCAACGCCGTGGTGGCGCTAACACCACTTCGTTGCCTGCTACTCGTAAGTAAGCTGGGAAGTTCAGAAAACTGAAAAGTATCTGTGAACGTTTCTCACCGGTGAGTCAGCAAGACTATAAAACGTGGTGCTCCGTGGTTCCGAAACCCAGCAATAAATTTTATGACAAGGGACGTACTTCCGGACCACAATCCAAACGTGCGCCGCCTGAACATCTTGAATAGACGGCTCATAATCAATGGGCGTCGCAGAGAGCAGAAGTGGTATCGCGTGGACCGATTTTTCGCGTAAATACAACAGCAGCGCTTTACACCCGTGCCCAATACATACGAAATGACTGCGCATTTGTCAACTATGCCAGGTGAAGTGGCCCGACGGCAGGGGCGCAAAAGGGTCACTTGCCGCCCATAGCGATGCAACACTTGTTTGCACCTCCTTACGAGAAAATATGGTCGCTTATGTCGTCAAGTTATTTTCAGACAGCCTTGACGAGACCCGACGTAGCAATCTTGTCAGCTTGAAGCGGCACCTACCCGATTCAGAAGCGATTACGCGACTATATGCCTAATAATATAATAGAATAGTAATATCAATAATAATAATATCAATAATTTCACGTTCGAAAACCACGTTATGATTATGTGGGACGCCTTAGTAGAAGGGTCTGGAAATTCAGACCACCTGGTGTTCTCACTGAGAACTAAATGTTTGGCGCCGACACCCCATGTCGGCGTTCAGTTTGCTCGGAGCCTAAGTATGGGTGAGTAAAGAAGAGACAAAAGTGGTGTCCACTCAAGCATGAAAGAAAGAAGCCTCGCTTGTTTTGGTCATACTGGGTGGGTTTTGTTTTCGTATCAGGTCTCGTGGCCTCCTGTAGTATCATGCGGCAGACGCGCCGTACGGAGAACACAGCGCCGGCCGACACGAGGTACGCAGCAGCCAGTAGCCAAGCAGGAACTCCTTTATTATGTACAATGCCGCTCATATATGCATAGGGTAGCGCCCCATGAGGGCGAAAATGCTTTACATGAAACCGAATCTGGCAACCATTAAATCGAAACAGAAACACCACGCATCTCGCCCCCCCCCCTTTATAAAGAAAAGGACATGTGGCTCTAAGATCTTTATACAATGATTAACGGCATATAATAACTTTTACAACCTTATACAATTTTAGAATAATGTTATGACACATATAGCTTCTTTATTTACAACGTTAAAATCCCCCCCCCCCTCTTTTTGTCATAAAGTAACCAATTGAAGAAGAGAGAAGCGGCATGAGAAGGAGGAAAAAAAATAGCTATGTACACAGCGCAACATAGCTGAAAGCACTTATACAAACAACATACAACAAAAAATCACAGCATACCAGCACATATCTTATAACCTTGTACAATAACTAGATGTATAGCATACACACAACAATGCGCTCGTATGGCACAGATTCCAACATACGAGCAAGAGAGAAGAATTTTGGACACGAAGTCCTTAAACAGGGATGGTTTATTACGCGAACGCTTAGAACGCCGAAGCTCATTACGCTCTGAAGTGCTGCCTTGCGGAGCAGCAAGTTCGGTATGTGAGGAGGAGCCTACTGGCTCGCTTACGCGCTGCTCAGACACAGCTGAGAGCATTGAGGAGTCCGACGACTCGCTTAAGCGTCCCTCTGTTGTAGCCGGAGACGGAGAACCCTGACGGGAAACATGGGAAGCTGAAGTATCGGAAGCATGTCCATTAGTGTTAAGAAGTATACTGGCATGGGGACTGGGCTCGTTAGTCAAGTATTCATACGGAGCCTGACAAGAGTCCGAGGACTCTGAAGCGTGCTCGGTGCATGGTAAAACTTCATGGTGGCTGGGCACCACAGCCAGATTTGAAACCAGTGCCTGACTACCATTTCCCACAGGGAAAGATGGTGATACTGTAGGAATAGGGATAGAAAGCAACCATGGAACCGAGGTAGAGTATTGCGACTGGTTCTGAAAGATATTGAGTATAACCGTGAAAGTGGTTCCCGTTCGGAATGGACGTTTACAAGTGTAGAAGCGTTCCAAACTGATCCATGACTGGGCTTAAATGCCTGGGATCCCACTGCCGACATAACTGTAAACGGACCTCTATACTTGTGTTTTTTCCCTGGAATGCATACTTTGACTCTTTGGCCAAGCTGAATGATTGGATGTTTGGCTCCTCGCTTCTGATCCACATAGTTCATGTACTGCTGACTATGGAAAACTCAGGTCCTTATGGCATTGTCCGAAAATTACTGCAAGTTAGAAGGCAACGGCTGATCAGTTACGTCAACCACTGTGCTAGGTTGACGCTTTTATGAAGCAACATCGCGGGAGACGATCCCGTAGTTGCATGAGCAGAAAAACGGTAAGTACCCAGGTGCTCCATAATTGCCTTTTTTGGAGGACATTGTTGTAGTTGGCCTAGATGAATGTACTCTTTCAGGACCCTGTTGAACCGCTCAACCTGCTCATTGGCTTGAGGATAGTAGTTGGAACAACAGAGATGTTGAATACCTTGTCCGGAAAGAAAAAATTCAAACCGACGAGACTTAAACTGGGGACCGTTGTCTGTTATTAAGCAGGTTGGAAAACCTTCTGGGCAGAAGATGGAAGTCAAGAAGGTGATGACTGCATCAGACGTAACGTCTTGAACTAAAAAAACAAAAAAAAACCTCAGGCCATTTTGAGTTATAGTCAATCGAAGTGACCGCAAAGCGACAATCTGTGGGAACATTTGAAAGAGGACCAATAATGTCCATGCCTAACTCTCGGTTTCTCAGGAAAAGGAACTCGTTGCAAGGGTGCAAAGACAGGTTTAGCCGATTTGTCGGCAGTCCGACAGATGCAACAGTTCCGAACCGCACTTTCCACTTGTTTGTCAAGGCACGACCGCCAATACCTGCTACGAAGCAGCTGCTTTGTACGAATTATGCCTGGATGATTCTCATGCGCCAACTGAATCAAATGCCCCCTGCGCGTTTCTGGAACTGTAACACGTTCCCCGCGGAAAATGAGCCTATCGGCATAAGACAGTTTGTCTTTCACTACAAAGTAAGGTACAAGTACTGAAGTCAAATGCTTCTTTAGAGGCCAACGCTCAGAAGTGTATTGATTAAGCTGCTTGAAGGTACCATCATTAGCAGTGGCTGCCTGTAACTCGTCCTTATTTAAGCATGCAGCAACTAAAGAAATTGTCTTTTCTTCTGGCGCCTATGCTGGCGGAAGCTGGACTGGCAGCCAAGATAATGCGACATTATCGGCACCTTTCCAATGTTGTACAGAAAAGTTATAATATAACAGTCGGGCGCACCATCGAGAAATTCGCAACGGGGGTCGCCCCACCGCACCAGCTGACAGCAAAGTAGTTAAAGCCTGGTGGTCAGTCCTCAATGTAAAATGCCGACTCCAAAGATACACATGTCATTTTTTTCTACCGCAAACAAGCAAGAGTTTCGCGCTCCTGTGCTGAATACCGGCGTTCCGCCGGGGAGAATGTTCTAGATGCAAAAGCTACAGTTAGCAGCTGATCTCTTCTCTGTTGTTGAAGCACTGCTCCCATGCCAACATTAGATGCATCGGTAGTAACCACCACCGGAAGATTGTTATCAAAAATATTTATGACAAACGGTCAGTAATAAGTTTTTTAACCTGGTTGAAACTGGCATTGACCTCAGCGGACCAATTAAAACTCTGACCTTCCATGGAGAAACCCGTGTAGTCCCGATCCCTCTATCAAGGAATGATGCAGCAAGACAACTTTACCTGCTGGCTCGAGATCTCACACGCACGTTCTGGTCGTCTACCAGCTTCCAAAAGTGTTAATTTTATGAACTGGATCCTTCGCTCAAGCTAAAGCTACCATCACAACTTTCCCGCTCCGATGCGACACTGTTATGCCGCCTTTGGTTGGGTGTTGCATTTACAAAGGTGTACTCCTTTCGCATTGGTATGGCAGACACTCCTACATGCGACTACTGCGGAGCTGAAGAGACCATCGAACACGTTCTGTGCACCTGCGCTTGCTACGACACACAGCGATGCCAGCTCCGGATGGTTTCGAATCGACTTGACCCCGGACCATTTTGTGTGCAGAAGATACTAGGACCTTGGGCATCTGCCTCAGTTGCGCAGAAAGCAACTAAAGCACTGCTACTTTACCTTAAGTCAACAAACCTGAGCGACCGCCTGTAGACTGTGTGTGCTCCCCGAGTGTGCTCGTGATTGTGTGTACCTTCTCATCTTTCTGCAACCTCTTTTCTCCCCTTTATCCCTTCCCCAGTGCAGGGTGTGGGGGTGCTGACACCCCCCCTGTAAAGTTGTCTGCGCCGCGTGGCGCACGTGTCTCGCCCCAGGGCGTTATTTCGGTGGTGACCACCACCGGGCGATAGATGGCGTTGTGTTCGCTCTGAGTACCACTGTTGGTAGAGTGGCAGCGCCGGTGGTGGCCCCTGGCGGAAGGTGGGCCTTGGTGGTGGGCGAGCGTTGAGCGAGCCTCTTCTGCGCGTGGCGGCTGCAGCGAACGGTTGTCTGTAGCGTGGGCTCCCGGTGCTCGGCACCGCGGGCTTCGCGCCGGGGTCCCACGTGGAAAGTCAGGCGTTGGCGACGCCGCCTTGGGGAGGTGTTGGGTGTGTTAGTGTGTGTTTATCATGCAATTGTGTGTTTAGGGTGTCACTGCGTTATGTTGTTTGTATGGTAGCGTGTTAGTTGAAATTGGTGTATCATTCGGCGGACGATATCGTCGTCTAAATTAGTTAATAAATGTATGTATGTGGGTGCGTGGTACCGACCGCGTCTGCTGTGTCCGTTGACTCCGAGAGCGTGGCGTGGCGATGCGCGCGTTCGCCTCGCCGACATCCCACACTGGCTGCCCAACGTGGAGCTCTTGGAGTGTCGGACGTCGGTTCTTGCGGTTCGGTACAGGGATTTTGTTAGAGCCGGAGTAGAGTAGGCCTAGGGAGGACTTCTTTGCTAGCGTCGGTGGTGTGCTTTGTTGAGAAGCGAGGGGATTGGTTTTGTAACGTGTTTCAATTTGTCGGCAGGTTGACTTTCTATTTTTTTTGCTCGCAAGTCTTCTTATTTTTTGTTGTTAGTTTTCAAAAACGTTGTTGAATTAGGACGAGAGCCATGCGGTCCGCATCCTGGGGTGAGCAAGGCCTAGAGCACGTGGTTTGTAGGCCAGGCCCGAAGCGAGTGAGTACGGAAGCCTCGTGGGTGGTCCGATTTTCTGTAAATAGCTTCTTCTATCTCTTTGGGCTCAGGGAGCCGGGCGTCGTTGCTGACTTGTATTGCGGCTCGACGCCGGGGCGTCGTGACACCGCCCGGGGCGGTGGACGCCGATCGCTCGGTAAGCTGCTGTGTGCGGCGAGCGATAGGGCCACCTCACAGAGTGGACGTCTCCTCGCGGCTGCCTCTCCTGCGCCTAGGCTGGGTGCTGGGTGGATGCCGGTTGTTGCCGTGCGACTCATTAGGCCTAAGGCTCTACGCAGCCGCCTGTCGCACGTGGCACAACTAGGTGGATCGTGGCGTTGAGGTGTCGCACTCCGCTTCCCTCACTTTTTTTTTTCTTGTGAGCACGAGTTAGGAAAAGTGATTTTTGTTTTTATTTTGATGGGCGTCTCGGCCGCCACCGATGTATTAGCTAGCAGTACTAACCACCGTACCACGTGGCCGAAAAGCCCGAAGCTCCCTCCCCTGGGCCGCGCTCCTTTGTTTCTTTCGAGTTTTGTTTTTTGTTGATGTATTCAGCGGGAGGGATGTCATCCACGGCCGGCTGTCCTGCGCATCGTCAGCGTCGCTGGCCAGAAATGCGGTCGTGAGTTCGGGCGATGAAGATGCCTGGGACCTGCGCAACTGCCTGCAGTCCGGCGCCCTCGTGAGTGCTAGTCGCAACTGGAAGACGTGTCGGCGCTAGCGACGGATCGTCGCGCCGACGGCAACGTTGCTGTTGCGGGGCCGGTACTGAGGTGAAGTCTAGCCGGAGAGTGCAGCAGTGTCGACCAGCGGCGGTGTCGTGGTGCAAGGACATTATGGTCGTGCGATATCATTTTTTTGTTAAAGCTTGTGTAGCTAATTTATGATTTCGGGATATGGTTTGATTTAAGGTTGGGGGAATGTGGGGGTGCTGACACCCCCCCTGTAAAGTTGTCTGCGCCGCGTGGCGCACGTGTCTCGCCCCAGGGCGTTATTTCGGTGGTGACCACCACCGGGCGATAGATGGCGTTGTGTTCGCTCTGAGTACCACTGTTGGTAGAGTGGCAGCGCCGGTGGTGGCCCCTGGCGGAAGGTGGGCCTTGGTGGTGGGCGAGCGTTGAGCGAGCCTCTTCTGCGCGTGGCGGCTGCAGCGAACGGTTGTCTGTAGCGTGGGCTCCCGGTGCTCGGCACCGCGGGCTTCGCGCCGGGGTCCCACGTGGAAAGTCAGGCGTTGGCGACGCCGCCTTGGGGAGGTGTTGGGTGTGTTAGTGTGTGTTTATCATGCAATTGTGTGTTTAGGGTGTCACTGCGTTATGTTGTTTGTATGGTAGCGTGTTAGTTGAAATTGGTGTATCATTCGGCGGACGATATCGTCGTCTAAATTAGTTAATAAATGTATGTATGTGGTGTGCTTGGTACCGATCGTGTTCACTGTGTCCGTCACTCCAAGAGCGTGGCGTGGCGGTGCGCGCGTTCGCCTCGCCGAGACCCCACAAGGGTAGCAAACCGGATGTGTGTCTGGTTAACCTCCCTGCCTTTCCTTGCATCTTTATCTCTCTCTCTCTGACCTTGCCGGAGTATGCGGTGCAGAGGCTCAAGAACATCAGCCTAATGCGGTAGAAACGTTGCATAATATCCAACCAACCCCAAGAAGGATTGGAGTGCTTTAACATGAGTAGGAACAGGGGCATCAAGAATGGCAGCGACCTTAGACTCAACCGGCTATAACCCGCGAGCAATTATGACATAAGAATGCAATTTCAGTAGCAGTAAATACACACTTGTAATTAAGCTTCATGCCACAGAAAGCTATTTTAGACAAGACACCTTTCAAGTGCACATCATGCTCTTCCCGATTACGGCCCAAAACTAAAATGTCGTCGAAGTAACAGACAACACCTGGGAATCCCCTTCAGTACATCGCTCATCATTTTTCCGAAAATAGCTGGTGCAGATGCCAGCCCGAAGCACACTCTGCGAAAGCTGTAAAGCCCTTGATGCATTACAAAAGTAGTAAGGTGACGACTCTCCTCCGCTAACTCAACCTGGTGGTATGCGGATGCAAGATCAAGTTTAGAAAAAAATTTAGCACCTGTTAATTGTTGCAAGAGTTCCTCGATGTGAGGTAGAGAGAGTCCGTCCACCACAATGGCCTTGTTCGGCTCACGGAGATTGACACACAGTCGGGTGGAATTGTCCTTCTTGAGGACGACGACCAAGGGAGACACCCAGTCCGTAGCATCCACCCTCTCTATGATGCCAATTGTCTCAAGTCGTTGCAGCTCGACGGCAACTTGTTGCCTCAGCAAGAAGGGAAGACGACGCAGTTTAACCGCCACTGGCTGCACACCAGGTTGATGCTTAACACGGTGAATGTAATTCCGGACGGTGCCGATGTCCGACGAAAACAGGTGGTGATACTCTGGTGGCGCATTCGCCGGAACCACCGAGGAGTCGACGAGAGAACAAGTGAGGGTCTCATCTTTGATGATTATTTTCAGAGCTCGGATGGCATCCAATCCCATGGGCGAGGTTCCTTTGTCTGTGAAATAGAAGGGAATCGTGGCGCAGTTGCCATTGTACGAGACTGTTGGCTTGAAATAACCATGATTATAATGACTTGCTTCGAGTAATTTTGTTGAACGAGGTGCGACGGTAGCAACTAGATATGTGAAAAGTTCCTTTTATAATCTTGAAAGTTGAGTGTGACACAGCTGCCCCAGTGTCGATGAGCATGTTGAAGGTGGATCCATTGATCCGTACGGGAAGATGAAGAATTCCGATAGACCGTTTCGTCCACTTGCAGGACAACAACTGTATTGGTCACCGTCGATTAGCCTTGATGGCCCGTCTACTCCGTAGTAGTGCGGCAGACCCGCACGAAGTGTCCACGACGTCCGCATCGCGAACACGTCCGGCTCCTGGCAGGGCAAGCGCCGGAGTTGACCCAATGCCGCGTCGAGCCGCAGCGGTGGCAGGCACCCGCGCAAGCCGGCGGTGAAGCTGAAGAGGAGGTGTCCGCAGCAGCGTATGGCAAGGAGGTGCACGCAGGAGAAGTCCCGCTGGTGCCATCCTGCACCGAAGCTTGGGGAGGACAGCCGCCATTTGGCCTGGCATCATGAATCGCTCGGTGAGCGGAGCTGCCATCGTGAATCGGACGCGACGACGCTGCGTCGACTTGCGCTCCAGATAACTGTAACAACGCGTGGTCGAAGGGCTCCTCCTCTCTCGCTACGTCGAGCGCCTTCTGTAGTGTGAAGTCCTTGCCCATCTTGAAAAAAGTTCTTAGTAGGTGCGGCGACGCGATGTCAGAGACGATCTGGTCGAAAGCGAGGATATCGCCCGCCACGCCGAATTCACAAAGCTTGGCGACTCGGCGTACTTCCTGAATGAATTCCACCGCCAATCGGTCTGGGCCCTGACGCAGGGCTTTGAAGTGGCGCGCAGACACGCCGCATCGAGTTGAGGGTCAAATAGTTCATTCAGCAGCGCAAGGGCTGCGTCGAACACATCCGGCGTCGTCTCCAGAGTTGGCCGGTCGGCTCCAGGCTGCTGCTCATCTTCGGTGGCACGCAGGTAAGTGTTAAGGCCCTCGACGCCTAAGGCGCTCAGGAGCAGCGCCTTCTTGTGCTCCGGCGTTGCGGCCCTGGCAGCGGCGTCGACGTAAACCTGTAACCCAGGACGCCACTGCCTCCATGAAATAGGTGGTACACCGGGGCACTGAAGAAACGGCGGTGGAGGGGTAAGGTTCTGTTTGGCATTGCATAAATTGTTGCCAGACTTGATGGGTCAGTGTTGCCAGACTGCGGCCAAATTTGGCAGAGAAATTAGTCCCCGTAGTTGTGGTTTCCCCATGAGTTTGGTGTCGTCCGCGGTGGGTTTCGCGAGTGCATGAGCGACACTATCCGTTTTATTTAATGGAATGAACTGCGCCTTGCAGACGTTGGGACGCGTTCTTTCGCTGTGTGCTGCTGTGCAATTAAGAGGCTGTTTTAATTAACGGAATGAACCGTGCCTTGTATAAGTCGGGGCGCGTTCTCTTGCTGTGTGCGCTGCTGTGCAATTAAGAAATGGTGTCTCAGAGTTAGGGAAACAACGACGCGTCGTCCGCCATGCATTTCGTGATTGCGATGAACTTCCCGAGTGCGACGAACAATTTTTTTATACTGCGCTTTTGAGCTGAGAGACAATAGACATTCATTATTTGAAATTATAGTCGTTTGTGCTTATTGTGGGTGGGGCCCTGCAAGCGACGGCGGCTCGTCGGCGGGGTTAATTCATTTCATTTCATTTATTGCATCCTTAAAGCCCGAGGGCATTACATAAGGGGGGCAAAAAATACGCTGTGAGTGTGTATAATTCAAGTTGAACAAATTATTATAAACAGTACAGTGTTAATATGGTAGTTTGGTCAAAAATGACGACAAAAATGAATCAAATAACACACAAAAAAAACGCTTTGGCTGGGAATTAGAGTACAAACAACTAGGCACAAGCAAATTATACATACAGTACGTTGGTAGAATATATTTACAGCCACGGGTTAATGGGTGGAATCAAAGTGGGATTCCAATTTTGCGCGCAATGATGTGCGGTCAGGTGTGGCAACAATGGTGTCGGGAAGGCGATTCCAAAGTGTTATTGCTTGGGGGAAAAAGGAGTCGTTCATTGCGGATGTACGGCCGTTGATTCGTGCAATGGGGTTTGAATGGTTAATTTGCAAACTGAAAAAAAAAAAGAATCTAGTAACGTTGAGGATAGCCGCGTTCATGCTCGCCGAAGAGAGCGTCGAGAAGCAACTTGAGGAGGGACGCGCACGTCAGTAGGCCTCGTGACCGGACTGGCGTGAAGAGTGTCGAAAAGTAGGAATGTATGCAGGAAATACAGTAGCGGTGGGACAGCTTGAACGCGTTCTGAGTCGACAGCACGAGGAAGAAGGCTGGAAGCCCATCTTGACGCCTGATGCACGTGGATTGAAGATCCTCATCGCCAAAATGTAGTATCGTGCGGCGGACGCGCCGCACGGAGAACACAGGGCATGGCGCTGAGGCGCCGGCCGACACGACGTACGCAGCAGCCGGTAGCCAAGCAGAAACTCCTTTATTATGTACATTTGAGTACAATGCTACGCATGGATGAATGGACGGATTGATGTGGCTGTACCCTTTAGATCGGGCGGTGGCTAATGCCACCTAGCCGTAATACTTTGTGAACCAGCAACTAGATTTATCTTTTTTTTCTCTTTAAATAGTGAAGTTGAGGACTGGTACTTTCCAGTGAAGGGTTTATTTTCACTCGTGCCTTGACTTTAGCCACCATGCAGATAACCTCCTCCTAGTTAATTCTACCCGTTGATAGGGCCACTCACGAGGTCTGACAATTTTGAGCTGACAAGTGCAATGCGTAGACGAGGCGTTTGTGATAACGTCTGCCAGAATTTGCAACGATACGCGCCGATGAAATGGGTCAAATTTCAAGATGAATGCTGTTCCCCCTCCCCTCTGCCGACGCACCCGTAGAGAATGAGGGCATGACGTGGCCGTAGGAATGGTCCTACGTACACGGAAATGCGGTGACGTTGGTCCTCTACGTAGACGACCCTGCTCTGACGTTGTCGACAGTATACCACGGGACATGCCAAAAATTATTTAACACGACATGCGTAGTTTATGTATTTGTTGTTTTAAGAGATGAATAAAACTTGAAATAAATAATGAGACGCAATACAAAATTGTGCGCGTCTTTCTTAATTTTTTTTTTCCGAGAAATGCTACGAGATACGGGGCTAATGTGCCAGCGTTCCGCATGGGTTCGGGTCTTCGCGGTCAGAGCATTGAGCAGGTGACCGCCGTGGAACACTCCTACGCGTTCGTGCACTCATTGTGCTCATCTACTCTACCACGTCTAAGCCAGCGTTTCCAAACAATCCCGCAGAAACAGGTAGCAGACCAGAAGATACCGCTGGTCAACAAAGCAATGCCGCTCGCGTGCACGGGGGCTGGGCTTGTTCGGACACGTCATGCGCACGTCACCTCCTGGTCGGATGCCGGAGAGGGTGGAGAAGAGATTTGGCTTGCGAAGGCTACGCGGAGGAGCAGCAAGGGTTTCGAGCTCGCCTCCTCTCACCCTCGTTTCGCGCCGCTTTAAAAAACTGTTTTCTCCTCTCGTAATGAACCGATTCGAAAAACTCTGTGCCATCATCCTGAACTATAGGGTGACGCCCTTTACAGAACATTATCAAGTGTTTGGCAGTTTCCTCCTCCTCTCCACACGCACTGCATACCGTGTCTACTCCGTCGTATTTGGCCCGATATGTCTTGGTTCGCAATACTTCCGTCCTGGCCTCAAACAGTAGAGAACTACCCCGAGTATTATCATACATTCTTTCCCTGGCAATTTCCTGCTTAATAGTTCGATAGATCTCTAGTGCAGACTTCCTAATCATGCCGATTCTCCACATATCGGTCTCAGCTTCCTTCACCTTCTTCTTAACCGATAATTCTCCTTGGTTTGGCCCCCTGCCGTTTTCTAAGTATTTACCAGTCAATTTTCTTGTTCGCTTCCTCCATTTTGTATCGGCATTCTTCATGTACAAGTAGCTGAAAACCTTCCTAGCCCAACGCCCCTCCTCCATTTCTCTCAATCGCTTCTCAAATTTTATCTTGCTGCTAGCTTCCCTGCCCTCAAATGATGTTCATCCCATATCACTTTGTACTCCCTGATTTGGTGTATTCCCGTAAGCTTCTAAGGCAAGACTACCTACTCCACGTTGCCTAATTTCTAATCTTGCTTGAACTTCTGATCTCATGCACAAGACCGCATTGCCGAACGTCAGACCAGGAACCGTGACCCCTTTTCATATTCCTCTCACAACCTGATACCTATTGTAATTCCACAGTGCCCTGTTTTTCATCACCGCTGCATTCCTGTTACATTTAGCTGTTACGTATCGTTCGTGTTCCCTTAGGTAGTCGGTACCGTTGCTTATCCATACGCCCAAATATTTGTATTTATCTGTTATCTCCAGTGTGACTTCCTGTATTCTAAGCTCACAACCTTCATTATCATAAAAATCATGACTGCTGATATTTCCTTACGGAATCTAAAATCTAACCTATCTCACTAATTACTGTAGATATCCACCAATCTCTGCAAATCTTCCTTGTTGTCGGCCATTAGCACTATATCACTGCGTAAATTAATGCTGGTAGTGCCTGATCGATGAGTTTTCCTTGTTTGACGAAAGAGAGGTTGAAGCCAAGTCCACTTCCCTCTAATTTGGCCTCTAATCCTTGTAGGTATATCATGAATAACAAGAGTGACAGAGGACACCCTTGCCTAAGCCCCGTTTTTGTTTTACCTCTGTGGGCTTGGATACCTGTTTTTCCCTCTTTATAACTACCTTGTTACTTTTATAGATATCCTTTAAAAGATTAGTGACTCTATCTTCCACACCAAGTGTGTCCAGTATTCCCCACAAATCCTCTTGAACCGCGCTATCGTACGCTCCCTTGATATCCAAAAA